TCAGGCAGATAGATTTCGTGTCTGAGCATTCTCACATGACGGTGGGTCTTCCCCCCCCCCTAAAAACAGTTAAAAAAAGAAAAAACAATATATCCTCATGCAAGAACTTTTCTGCTTCCAATTACCCCCATGCTTACAAGTTGCAAGGAAACACGGAAGCAGGGAAGCGGCTGCCCAGCTCCGGAGCTCCACACCATTTTTCTTTCAGAGGGAATCTCACTCGAGTATAAGCCAAGGGGTTTTTTTTCAGCACAAAAAATGTGTTGAAAAACTCGGCTTATACTCGAGTCAATAAGTTTTCCCAGTTTTTTGTGGCAAAATTAGGTGCCTCGGCTTATATTCGGGTCGACTTATACTCGAGTATATACGGTAATCATATTGATGTATTTTCCTTGTTCTTTTTCTTTGTTTTCTTTTTTCTTGGTTATTTTATGATTCCATTTTACTTTCATTTTGTTTAAATTTCGTTTTTATTTCTTCTGGATTTTTGATTGTGAGCTGCCTAGAGGACTGCAGAGATTGTTCTCACACTTTATGATTGCATCATTTAGCAAAAGAAATCCAGTCTCAATTGATAGAGAACTACGTATATTAAAAGAAAATGTCAGTATTGACAATATAAAATTAATTTCTAAAATATTGTGATAAAACTGAAAAAGCTACAATATCTAAACAGATGAGTTTCCAAATTACTACAAAATAGGTTATAAAAATGCTTTTCATAATTTCCCTAGGAAGGCGGTTTCCAATACTCTATTCTCTTATAACAAATATTTTGATTATTGTTCTCTTAAAATGTCAAAACAAAGCCATTATTTTGTTTATTTTCAAGGCCCTTAATTGTATATTATTCCCAGGGTCAGTAAAGCAACTAGAGGTGTTCAGCTATTGATCTATAATTTGACTATTTAGTTAGAACATTACATATATGCCAAACCTAATGAAATGTTAAAGTTTAGCATAATGAATAATGTATTTGATTCTACTTTCATAGAAAGTTAATAAGTGACATATATATACTATATGAGTTGCTGTCAAAAATTGTCACTCCTAGTTTTTAAATGAATTTTAGAACATTTAGAATCAAATTTCATACAACTCAATTTTTAATATTAACCCTAATTTCCTTTTCCTGTTTTCCTGGATGTAGGAGAACCTCTTAATGAGGATTCATTTCCATATTGCAGATGAATCTAAGGAAGATATCTGCACTGCCCCACATTGTATTTCACATCAGAAATTTGCAATGACCTTGTTTGAACAGGTACAGAAAAACAACATTCTTATATTAATCCTGAAATGAAAAAATAGACTTGGAAATAAGCAAAAAATATTTTCTTTTGTTAATATCTAATCATTTATTTATCTGATTTAGTGTGTCTGTACCAGTTGTGGTGCTACTTCTGACCCATTGCCCTTCATCCAGATGGTGCATTATATCTCAACTACTTCACTCTGGTGAGTCTCAAGCTTTTTGCAAAAAAAGAAGAAATTCCTTGGCTTAATTTCCCCCCCTTTTTTGATATTTTGGTATGTATTACCAGCCTTCCTAGGTAAGCCAGACAGGACACATGAATAGATTAGCAAATTCTCCTTTATTATAAGGCTACATTAACATAATCTTGCAAGTCTGAAAGTACAACTCTCCTGTGGTCTCATTTACATTCTGAGAATTTATGAGTATGTTGTTTCCCTGAAGAAAAATCAAAGATTTTACTGAGAACCTTACAAAATAATCAACCTCACAGATTACAACCCCTTTTTTCTCCTAAACATGGGGACCGATGACACAATAATGAATCTAAAAACAGTAACAAGAGATTATGATCAGCTAGGGAAGAAAGTTAAAGAATTAGGACCACAAATGGAGATTTCATCTATACTTCCAACAAAAGGCCAATATCCAATGAGGGAATGAAGGATTTTAGAAACAAACCACTGGCTTAAAAAATGGTGTTGTCAAGAGAACTTTGATTTCCTAGGCCATGGTCTGCATTACCTACATGAAGGGCTACTGGCAAGGGATGGAGTGAGCTTCACAGGAATTGGAAAGAATATATTTGGAAAACGACTGGCTCATCTGATCAGAAAGGCTTTAAACTAAAATTGAGGGAGGAGGGCGGCAATTCTCAAAACCTTTAGATTAGAACCTAATTCCAAGTGAAAGCCACTAGTTAACTAATAAGGAGGTAGGGAGTAAAAGAAGAAGGAAAGGAAAAACACAATAAAGTAGAGAATGATGGAAAGGATGGAAAACCCATTTACAAAGTAGGAGATATAGCAAATATGCCCCCAAATATAAGACGTACAGGTAGTCCTCGATTTATGACCTAAATTGAGCCCAAAATTTCTGTTAAGTGAGACATCTGTTAAGTGACTTTTGCCCCATTTTATGACTTTTTTGCCATAGTTGTTAAGTGAATCACTGCAATTCTTAAGTTAGGAACATACCGTGTTTCTCACAAAATAAGGCTGGGCCTTATGATTTTTTGACCCCCGAAAAAACAGCTAGGCCGTCTTTTCGGGAGTGACTTAATCCCCCCCTTCATCCTCAGGCGGGCGGGCGCCGACGGCTTGGATGTTAGCATTGGTGAGGCACTTTGTATCGGGAGACCTTCTGCCACCATTGCTTTCCCTTCTCCCTGTGCTGCCGCAGCATTTAGAGCAACACCGTGGCGTTTGGTGCAGTCACACACAGCCAGCCAGGGCTCCTCCCTGCAACCGGAGCCACTCGGCTTCAGGCGCTCCTGTCGCCACCTTCTCGGGCATCGTTCAAAGACAAAGCCCATTCCCGGTACGGGTCGGCCCAGCTCTTTCGCTTGGCATGCAGGCGTGCACCTGTGGCTCGCTTTCCCGGCTTTGCCCAGCCCGCATGGCTCTGGTGCAGCCCTGGCAGGATGAGTGGAGGGCCCGGCGGGGAGGCGCTTGCTGCCTTGGTGAGAGCTCCGCCACTGGGTAGGAGGGCCCACCTGTTGGCTGCGCTGGGCGCCCCAGGCAAAGCTCTTCACGCTCTGCCTGGCGCCAGGCAGGGATGGCGGCTGAGCGCTTCTCCCCCGGTAGGTCGATCCTGCGCTGCAGCCCCGGGAGATTTGCCTCCCCACATGGTGTTGGGCTGCCCTCTTGGGCAGGGGAGGCTTTGTCATACCAGTAGTAGGACGTTGTTTTTAAAAGAATTGGCTTTGCCTTCAAAGGCGAAGGGAAGGCAGCGACAGGAGCGCCTGAAGCCGAGTGTCTCCGCTGGGCTCCAGTTGCAGGGAGGAGGCCTGGCTGGCTGCACCAAACGCTGCGGCAGTATGGGGGAAAGGGAAAGCAAGGATGGCGGAAGGTGTCCCGATACGAAGTGCCCCACCAACGCCGAAGTCAATGCAAGCAGCACCATATCCCGGTATGCAACAAAAATACTTCCTAACGGCAAGCCCTCCCCCACCATTCCCCCCCCATTTTGCATGTTTAATATAGGCCTTAATTTGGGGGGAGGGGGTTAATTTAATTTTATGCCTATAAAGCATGCTGGGACTTCCTATTGGGGGAGGCCGTATTGTTGGAGAAACACGGTAGTTGTTAAGTGAATCCAGCTTCCCCATTGACTTTTCTTGTCACAAGGTTGCAAAAGGGGATTATGTGACCCCAGGACGCTGCAATGGTCATAAGTATGAACCAGTCACTAAACATCTGAATTTTGATCACGTGACCACGGGTATGCTGCAAAGGTTGTAAACTATGAAAAACTATCATATGTCACTTTTTTCAGTGCCATTGTAACTTTCAATGGTCACTAAATGAACTATTGTAAGTCGAGGACTACCTGTATATCCAAGACCCACAAAGGACTTAAATGCCAATACATGAATTGTCAAAAGTTAGGGAAAAAACATGGTGAACTTGAAGTACTAGTACATAAAGGTAAATATAATATAGTTGCCATTACTGAAACATGGTGGGATGAAACTCATGACTAAAATGTAAGGATACAAGCTATTCAAAAGAAATATACATAACAGAAGAGGAGGTGGAGTTGCATTATACATAAACATTCACTACATCTCTATAGAAATCCACAAAACCATGGATGAAAACCTCCTAGAAAGGAAAACAGAATGAATTGCTATAGAAGTATACTATAGACCAGGCGTCCCCAACCACCAGGCCGCGGACTGGTACCGGTCCGTGGAACATTTTCTACCGGGCCGCCGGTTTGCTGGGCGCCGCCATCTTGTTTTGATGAGAAAGTGCTTCCAGTGAGCTTTTCCGGTTGGAAAGTGGCGTTTGGGTCCTGAAGGAATCCTCGCGCCTTAGTTTCATCAAAGCGGGGGCGGCTTCGAACAAAACTAAGACACGAGAATTCTTTCAGCACCCAAGGCAAGGCGAGCTGAACGACTGTCCCGAAGCCATCCCGAAGCCCATCGACAAAGGAGTTGAAGGAGGCGGGGAGAAGTGGAGGACGGCTGGCTGGCCGGTCGCTCGACATTTTGTGATGCCGGTACCGGGCCGTGGCACAAAAAAGGTTGGGGGCCACTGCTATAGACCACCCAATCAAACAGAAGAAATAGGATGAATGTTTTGCTAAACAACTAACAAATGTGTGTAGGAAACATACCACAGGGAGACTTTAACTACCTTGATATCAACTGGAAAATAAACTCAGCAGCAAGTGGAAAATCAAACAGATTTTTACCAATCTAGCTGATAACTTTGTCTTTCAAAAGATAGAGGAGGGAACTAGAGGAAAAGTTATATTGGATCTAATTCTTACTAATAGAGAAAAAGTGATAGAGGGAGTTGAACTTTGGGTGAGAGTGACCATGTCATATTGGAATTCAATATAATGTAGCAATGTACAAGCAATAGAACATAATCCAGCCAGTATCTTAAAGCTGATTTTAACAAACTCAGAGAGATCCTAAGAAAAATTCCATGGATGAAAATCCTAAAGGGGAAAACAACTCAAGAAGCACGAAAAACTGAAAAATATGATAATAAAAGCCCAGTCCAACACAATACCATTGAAAAAGAAAAACAAGAAATTCAAGAAAAAACCAGCATGGTTGGACAAATATCTCTCTGATAAACTAAAAGACAAAAAGGATATACAAAATATGGAAATAGGGACACATAACTAGACACAATAGGGACACAATTCTATTCTATAACTAGAATAGAATAGAATAGAATAGAATAGAATAGAATAGAATAGAATAGAATAGAATAGAATAGAATAGAATTCTTTATTGGCCAAGTGTGATTGGACACACAAGGAATTTGTCTTTGGTGCATATGCTCTCAATGTACATAAAGGAAGAAAATACATTCATCAAGAACCATAAGATACAACATGATAGTGATAGTGATAGGTTACTAATAAGCAATCAAATCATACTAGGAAACAAATAAAACAATATAAATTGTAAAGATACAAGCAACATGGTTATAGTCATTAGCAGGAAGAGATAAGTACTAGGAAGGATTAGAGGAATAATAGTAACAGTCTTAGTAAATAAGTTGACAGTGTTGTGGGAATTAGTTGTTTAGCAGAGTGATGGCATTCGGGAAAAAGCTGTCCTTGTGTCTAGTTGTTCTGGTGTGCAGTGCCCTATAGCATCGTTTTGAGGGTAGAAGTTGAAACAATTTATTTCCAGGATGTGAGGGGTCTGTAGATATTTTCACAGCCCTCTTTTTGACTCGTGCAGTATATGGGTCCACAATGGAAGGCAGGTTGGTGGCAATTGTTTTTTCTGCAGTTCTAATTATCCGTTGAAGTCTGTGTCTGTCTTGTTTGGTTGCAGAGCCAAACCAGACCGTTATAGAGACGCAGATGACAGACTCAATAATTCCTCTGTAGAATTGAATCAGCAACTCTTTGGGCAGTTTGAGCTTTCTGAGTTGGAGCAGAAAGAACATTCTTTGTTGTGCTTTTTTGATGACATTTTTGATGTGAGATGTCTATTTTAAGTCTTGAAATATGATAGAACCTAGAAACTTGAAGGTCTCTACCGTTGATACTGTGTTATCTAGTATTGTAAGAGGTGGTAGAATGGAAGGGTTTCTCCTAAAGTCTACCACCATTTCTACGGTTTTGAGTATATTTAGTTCCAGATTGTTCCAGTCGCACCACGAGGCAAGTTGTTCAACCTCCCGTCTGTATGCAGATTCATCGTTGTCTCGAATGAGACCAATCACTGTTGTATTATCTGCAAACTTAATAGAGGGATCTTTTGAGATGCAGTCATTGGTATATAGAGAGAAGAGCAGTGGAGAGGGCACACAACCCTGGGGGGCTCCTGTGCTAATTGTACAGGTGTCAGGTGTGGTTTTGCCTAGCTTCACCTGCTGCTTCCTGTCTGTTAGGAAGCTTATGATCCATTTTCAAGTGTGGTCAGGTACAGCTAGCTGATTTAGTTTAGTTAGAAGAATATCTGGTATGAGGTATTGAATGCTGAATTGGAGTCTAACAGCAGGTCCATGATGGTTTTCAGGTGGGCCAGCAGTGTCCTTTCAAAGGCCTTCATAAAATTACATATGTTAGAGCAACTGGTTGGGAATCATTCAGTTCCTTGATGGAAAGTTTCTTTGGCACTGGGATGATAGTAGAGCATTTGAAGCAAGAAGAAACATAGCACATCTCTAGTGATTTATTAAAGATGCGGATGAAGATGAGGTCCAGTTGATCAGCACAAGCTTTTAAGCAAGAAGGAGTTATCTTGTCTGGGCCTGGTGCTTTTCCTGTATTTTGTCTGTGAAATAGTCCTTGCACCTCATTCTCTGTAATCACCAGAGGTGGTGGGCCCAATGGGATGGGGTATCTGCAAAGATGAAGTCAGGAAACAAGGGCTCATGTGCACGAAGAACTCAAAGGCTGTGAATTCATTGTAGATAAAGCATCTCAAATTTCAGCTCAGAATTGAATAGTTGACAGAGTAATCAGTAGATACGTTAGGCATTAAAGTTCAATTTGCCCTCCATTAGAAATCTGGCTTGATTGAAGCATAGATTTTATTCAAGTGCACATTTGCTGAACTTGTAAACTGAAATGCTGTTCTTCCAAATGCTACACTTCAAGAAGCAGCAACAGGTTTAAATATTGTTTATGAAGAAATATGTTTTTAATTCTTGCTTTATACTTTTTCAACATTTAAAGCAATCAGGCCATTTGCATGCTGGAAAGACGAGACAAACCGACGCCTGATATGTTTGGAGAGCTGCTACAAAATGCCAGCACAATGGGAGACATGAGAAACTGTCCGGTTTGTATACATCATTTGTATTTAGTAGAAGAAATAGCCCAAATGGGAGTGGGGGAGTATGCACTGAGGGCTGCTTTTGCGTTGAGAGGTTTTTAGTATGCGATTTGTCCGTACAGGTAATCCGTTAGTTGCCACCACAATTGAGTCCAAAATTTATGTTGCTAAGTGCCCCCATTTTATGACTCTTCTCACCACAGTTGTTAAGTGAATCATTGCATTTGTTAAATTAGTAATGTTAAGGGGATCTGGCTTTCCCATTGACTGCTTATCAGAAGGCCACAAAAGAGGATCACATGAACCTGGGACACTGGCAACTGTCATAAATATAAGTCAGTTGCCCAGAGTCTGAATTTTGATCATGTGACCATGGGGATGCTGCAATGGTCATAAGTGTGAAAAATAGTCATAAACTATTTTTTTTCATGAACTGACTGAACTAAGTGAACTGTTGTAAGTTGAGTGCTACTTGTATAGGTAGTCATTGACTTAGAACCACAGTTGGGGCAAGAATTTCCATTGCTATAGAAGGTGGCTGTTAAATGAGATACCCAATTTTACAATCATTTTTGCCACAGTTGTTAAGCAAATCATTGTAGTTGTTAAGTGAATCACATGGTCAGCACTGACCTATGCTGAAGTGCCTGATCATGTGACTGAGTGGGTGCTGGGATGATCGTGCGGGTTGGTTGTAAGTCACTTTTTTCAATGACATGTAACTTCAAACAGTCATTAAACAAATGGTTGTTAGTCAAGAACTACATGTATACTAAATAGATTTATCATTATATATTACTCTGGGGATTGGATTCACACTGAAAATCCTTAATCCAACTAAAAGAACATTTTTTTAAGAAAGTGGTGCATTCTCTGACAGGGGTTTAAAATGTATTGCAATTTCTTCCAATCTCTTTGTGCTGGAACAGCAGCTACAAAAAGTTGCAGCTATGCCAGGTCGAGAAAGCTATTAAGAGTGGGTATGACAAAGTCCCACCACTGCCCTTGACATACAGATGGATCAGTGCGCAGAAAGTACAAGGAGAGCAAGTTAGCCTTTTTGGTACTTCCTTTTTGATGCAGTAATAGAACGTGGCCTCTGTTACACAATAGGCAGTTCAACAGAGCTGGAAACCAACCAGAACCAAGCCAAAATGGCTAAAACCAAGTGATATTTATAAAACTACTACAAATATTTCACTTCTAGAGTAAATTGCATAATGAAAACATACAATCTGATTAACTAAAACCTAGCTTAACTCCAATATGTATATGTTCTCAAAAAGTCTTTATTTCAAAATTATCCTTTTCCTTACCATTCTCTTTTAACATTTTAATGAGGGGTCTTTGGTACTCTCTGAGCTTGGTTGTTTTCTTACAAACATTTCATTAGTAACCAGTACTGATGATGTTACCTAGTTTGAGTAATGAAACATCTGCAAAAAACAACCAAGCTCAGATAATACCAAGGACCCTTCATTTCATCCCTGAGCTATAAATATTATCCTTTGTTAGGAACAGTTTAATACATGCACAATATTCTTTTTTAACATTTAGGAATATTTGAAGAAATTAATATATTTTATTTATTTTTTGTTAAATTTATTTGATAAAAGTTATAGTTGACTTGGAATAGAATAAAGAACTACAGTAGATTTTTTTATTACCTATCACCCAATAAAACAAGGATTGCTGACTGCAGTGTTACAGATAAAGCAACAGGATGGATTTATATTTAGGAAATTACATGTGACAGCACTTACTAAGAGAAAAGGTTTTTCTTATACATTTGGTTTTCAGCCCCTATGCGTCACCACAATATAAATCTATCTTGCTGTGGGGCTACTCCAAGTGGGTTGGTTACACCTGTTTATACTCTAGGTGTCGGCGTTCCAGTAACTCTCCATTCCAATCAATAACTTTGAAACAGAAATATCTCAAAGGTACCTTTATTTGGATAGTAACTGGCACATCTGTGGCATCCCGAATCTGAAAGTTCTGGGCTTCCTTGCAAAAGTCAAAACTACAAATCCATTCCCGCTTAGCCATCATCACATCACATGGTCCAATCACCATCCGTCCTAAAGTAAGATTCCCATTTCATTATGCACCACACTCAGTAACCTTGAACCAAACAAAAGAATTTTATTTTGTCTAATAGATATACTCAAATGAATTCCCCCCCCCCTCCCACTTTCTCAGGCTCAATTGTTGCAGCATGGGAGCATTGAATCTCAATATGGCTTCCAAAGCTGACACTAGGTGGTATACTCCTGTTTCTTTCCATTATACAAACCAGTTGCATTTTCAGAAATTTTGTCTGAAACCAAGATAAGTTGTTATCAGGAGATGAAGGCATAATAATACTAAAAAAAGGAATGTTTAAAACCACCAGGAATTAAATATATTGGGTTTCTTTTCAGAGCAATTGTGGAGAAAAAATTCAGATACGCCGAGTGTTGATGAACTCTCCACAGATCATCACCATTGGACTGGTCTGGGATTCGGATCACTCAGATTTGGCGGAGGATGTCATTCATAGCCTGGGCACTTGCCTTAAACTGGGTGATGTGAGTCTTAAATCTTATGGCAATATATACGTTCTTGTTTGACTGTGCTAACTGTCCTTCATCTATATGTGCACGTCCCTGTTTGTGTGTTCTGCATTTATTTCAAACATCTTTCCTTCAGCTTAAATAGTTTTTATTAAGTAAATTTAAGTTTTAGAGAAATGCAAGAATTGTACTGAGATTATTCTTCCCTCCCTGAAGCTGTTCTTCAGAGTAACTGACGACAAAGCAAAACAATGTGAATTGTATTTGGTTGGAATGATCTGCTACTATGGAAAACATTACTCCACCTTTTTCTTTCAAACAAAGATTCGTATGTGGATGTATTTTGATGATGCCCATGTTAAAGAGGTAAGAAATTTCGAGAGAAAAGAATAAAATGTTTGGATAGTGATAGTGTAAATGTATCTGGATTGTTTTTAGATAAGTTGATAAACTTCCAATTATTTGCAGGCAGTTTATGATGAAACATTCCAGATAGGTTGCATCCACTGTTTCTAAAATATCAAAATAATATAAACACATTATTTAAGAGAGTAGGGCAGGATATATGTTGTCTGCCATGTTTCATTATCTCATGAGTTGTTACGGAAAGATCTAACAAAATAACATAGGCTCCAGTACAATGCAATGATAGTAAGACAGAAACTTTTCAACTCTTCTTGGGAGAAGAAGCGAACATCGTAGATCAGGCGTATCTAGCCCATGGGATGCATGTGGCCCTGGACAATTCCTAATGTGGCCCCACAAGATCATAAACTTGTTAACATTACTGTATATGTTGTTTATATACATTAACTGTTTTATATGTGGCCAAGACAATTCCTTTTCACTCAGTGTAGCCCAGGCAAGCCAAAAAGTTAGACGCCTATGTCATAAATAAGTAGTATTTTATTTCTTCTTCACTTATTTTAATCTGGGTGCTTTCTATAGCAAGTCTATAGAAAAAGGGGTCATTTCGTTTAAATGTTGAATGCACTCAACAATATTCACTTTCTGCTGGCTGGGAATTAGCTAAATATTGCAAACCTGAATCAGTTTTTTATATAATTAAGTCAGTATCACAAACTAAGAAATGGCTGCTGAATTGCCCAGATGCAGGCAATTACATAGATGACCCTACACAAAAGGTTCCAGGTTTTGACCTTCCTCGTCAGCATTGGTCAACTCTGAATAGGATCCGTACCCAACATTGTGTCTCCCGGGATTCATTGTTTAAGTGGGGTCTTGTCTCTACCACTCAGCGTGACTGGGGTGCTCCTCAACAAAATATCCATCACATTGTGTCTGAATGTCCGTCAAGAGCTTACACCAACCCAGTGTCTGATTGTTTTCAACATAGGCCACTCTGTCCTTGAATGGCTGAATGGACTGGACATTAACATTTGAACTACTATAAGTCCTTGTATTTGCCATATGCTAAATAAATAAAACTAAGATTATCATTATGCAAATATGTAAATTTCTATGATGCCATACTTCCAATTCAAAAGATTCATTTCAACCCCGAGGGCAGGGGTAGGATTCTACCAGTTTGCACTGGTTCTATAGAACTAGTTATGGTTCCCAATAGTTCGGAGAACCGATAAATCAGGCCTCTGGCTGGCCCCGCCCCCTCTGCCCGCTTCTCCGTTCCCTGCCTGGTCAGTTCCTATTGCAATTGCGCAACATCGTGCCCATGCGTGACCAGCCTGCAGCCTGCTTCTGCCCGCCCACCAGGGCAGCCATTGCTGCCTGCCTTTCACTGCGACACGAGCCTCTTTACTGATCTCCCTGCTCACAGGTAAGCCTGTGAGTCGTGCTAGCCGTTCCTCCATTGTCCCTGTGCCTCCCTGAGCCCCCCCAGCCCTCTCTGGGGCTCCCCAGGTCCTCTGCAGCCCTCTTTGAGACCCTTGCCCATGGCCTGGGCCTTTCGGGGCCTCCCCCCACCGCCCAGGACCTTGCTGGTCCTCCCTCTACCCCCGGGACCTTGCTGGGCCTCCCCCCACCACCTGGGATCTTTCCAGGTCTCCCCCCACTTCCTGGGACCTTGCCGGGCCTCCCCACACCACCCGGGATCTTTCCAGGCCTCCCCCCACTGCCCGGGACCTTACTGTACCTCCCCCCACCACCCAGGATCTTTCTGGGCCTCCTTCCACCACCTGGGACCTTGCGCTTCCCCCCATCTCCCGGGACCTTGCTGGGCCTCCCCCCACTGACTGGGATCTTTCCAAGCCTCCTCCACCTTGTGCCCGTCCTGGGCCTCCTGTCTGGCTGCTGGCTTGATAGGAGGGGAGGCTGCTGGTTGGAGCAATGGGAAGAGCAGTGCTGGGCTCCTGCGGCACCGAGTGCAAGGGCATAGCTAGAATTGGAAAAAAAGACTGCGTGTCTCTGGCGAAAAGAACCAGAGCTTCTTGACACCAGAGCACCCGCTGCCTCACTCGTGCCTGCTTATCCAAGCTGCCTAGTGCTGCCCCGGTCCTTTCCGCCACAGCCACACAGCATTTAATTCCAATTCTAGCTCCAACCAGCAGCCTCTGTCCACATCAAGAATCCGGTGGCCAGGCGGGAGGAGGCCAAGGTGGGGTGCTGTTTCTGGGCCAGTCCAGCCAGCGGATGGGCGAGCAGGCAGCCCTCAGGGTGATGTGGTGATGGCAGCCCATAGCTGTTCGATTTCTCTGCTGTGCTGGGGCTGAGAGGGGCGGTGGAGGTGCTCCGAAAGGGAGGCTGGGAACTCCTGGGGCTTCTTCCCATAGCCGCACTGTCGCCACCCCCGCCGCCGCCACTGCTGTGTTGTGCCCTGAAAGGCTGGGAACTAGTCCTAGAGCTGCTTCCCATAGCTGGGCTGCCACCGCTGCTCCCCCTCCCGCCGCTCCCCCCAAAGCCCATGTGCTCTGAAAGGGAGGGCGGATGAATGTTCCAGGGCTGCTGCCGTTGTCCCCTGAAAGGGAGGTCAGGAACTGCTGGGATTTCCCATAGCTGCGCCATTGCTGCCCCCTCCCCCACTGCTGGCCCCGCCGCCATCCATGTGCTCCGAAAGGGAGGACACAGCTATTCGCTT